ACACTCAAGAAAGCCATTCAGTCCCTCATCGATCGTCTTCCAGGATACCACGTTGATTGGGCTAGCATCTCTTCCAAAGGCACTGGTTTGAAGCGTGCAGAAACATCGCAGTGGAACCCGGAGACTGATGAACTTCACAAAGGTATCGCTTTCATAAACCAGCGAGCCCCAGATTGCGATGCTGAGAACCAGCAGTACGTCTGGATTCTTACGCACATCAAGCCAGACTCCGGCTCGCCCATAGCAGGCTGGCCGGAGTCGAAGGTCCGCATCATGGCACAGAACAAGGCGCGAGGGCAGGCCGGCGCAACTGCTGCCAGATTCTTCCCGTTCACGACGCGGAGCCTCAAGCCCTTCATGGCTGATTTCCTCCTGCCGATACTGTATCCGCTTCTGCTTAACTATGGCATCCTCACCCTGGCTTGGCCTGGTGTTGGCAAAACGCTCATCGTCATGGGTTTGGCCCTCGGTCGATACCACATTTTGATGGTGTGAAGCCGGCCTGGCGCCGCGCGAAATCACTAGACAATTTCCGCCATCGTGTGGGGCAAGTTCATGAGGCTCTGATATTGGACGATCCTGAAGTTGACAAGCTCAACATGTCCGATATCAAGAGTTGGATGACTTCGGAGGAGGACGCAACTTGCAGCGGCAGGTACAATGATGTCAAGATGGTTCGTAACAACATGCGAGCCATCGCGTCCAATGACTTGGAAAGTGAGCACGAACCACCCAACGACAATGGCCGTCGAAACATCACTTCGGAGGAGTTCTTCAAGCTTGTTAGGAAGTTCTTCGCTGGTCATAAACGTGCCGATGTTCCTCGCTGTCCTCAAGCGCTCCGTCGTCATGGTCTTCGGACAGCATGCCATGTATCTTCGCCTGCCAAATCAAGATCCTGACGCCATCGTTCATCGCATTAGCACCGATGACATCCATTTGGATCTGTTCAGTCCTCACGACAAGCCGCAGTATGCCAAGTACAAGATCGGGATAGAAGAGCTTCCGCCCACCTTCGCAGAAGATGTTGCTTCCGAGCAGAAAGCTCTCCAAGACTCAATGGCTTCGATGGTCCAGTTCAAAAGCCCTGACCAGTACTTAGAGCAGGCAAACAAACGCATCGGCGACAAGATCTCTGGCTTCCTTCGCTTGCCTGCAGGTTTTTGGGACCAGCGCGTTAGCTCAGATTCCGACACCGGACCCCCTCCCACCATCTGGCACGCCCTTGACTGCCACGGCAGCCGGGCCACCCAAACGTTTGGGTACTTTCGTGTACCCGACCCCCGCCCGCAGGGTCAAGACCAAGTCCAGTCCCGCTGCTCCAATCAACATTGATGAACAGGAGACTCTTGCTCAGCCGGGGGAAGATGATCTTGGTCCGGAGGACCCTGACGAGGAAGCTGCCCAGTACCTGAACGCCTAGGGCCTCTATAGTGGCCACGTAGATGTGTGCTGATCAGTTGATTTTGGCTACAGAAGGCGTGTAGCCGGGTTCTACGGAACTTTTGCCAGAAGGAGCTGACCGATGCGTAGGTCCGAAATTCATGGTGTTGTGCTCTTGCCCGTTCCGCATGTCATTTAGTACTGGCATGATGATGCTGTGAAGCACGTTATACCGTCCACAGAAGTGTCAGGCTGTATTCTATAGTCGCCTTTAGGATCCCTGGTCTTGCTTTCTCCACAGACCATATGGCTGGACGCAAGGTCTTCAACCCGCTGGTCGCAAAGCGCGGTAAACAGCGCCTCATCGCCAAACGCCCCGCCAGCAAGAAGTCCAAGACCAAGGAGTACCAATCCGTCAAGTATGTCCGGGTGAAGGGCGCTGTTCCTGGTCGTGGACTTCGAAAAGAACAGGCTACTTGCTCGCGATCCCTTCCAGAACTCATCAAGGCGTCGAATGATGACATCGTCCGCATGCTCATCAAGGATAAGATGCTGCCGGATTGGTCCGGTATGCAGTGTCCTAGGTGTGAGAAGGGGACGCTCTCCGACTTGATGAAGCCCCCTCAAGGTGAGCTCAAATACCGTTGTAGTCACAAGAAGTGTCACATCTACATGTGCCCGCAACATCTTCATCCTTTCTTCACTGATGGCCAGGGTTCCTCGGCTACTCCACTGCAGACACAGGCTGCTGTTCTCTTTCTGAAGTTGCAGAACGTCTCCAATGCTGCCGTGCATCAGGTCATGAACATCAACCACAAGTTCACGGAAGACATGGCCACTAGGTTGGCTTACTCACGCCAGGAGTATGTCATTGCCAAGCAGAAGGAGATCCGACTTGGAGGTCGCAAGACATGGGTAGACGTGGAGGATGACGAGGCCAGCTTCGCAAATACCGACATCAGCAACATCGATGATTCTGTGGATTCCCAGAAGCCCGTCTTGTGGGAGCAATGGTGCGGCTTGATCGAGCGGGGACGACCGGAAAGCTTGATCCTGGAGCGGTTGAAGCCACCCACTACGGAGAAGCGAGCCCCAGGACCAGGTCCCATCCGGAAGATTGAATGGCAGCCTCTGGGTAAGAAGTATCTGGAAGTCTGGAAGGACGCAACATCATCTTCCATACGGATTCGGCCCGCAGCTACAAGACACGGCTCGAGGGGGTCAAGCACGACAATGTCGTCCATTGTAAAAAGAGGGTGAAGGTGAACGGGAAGTGGAAGTGGCAGATGCCTAACTATGTCAAGGTGACGACCCACACAGTGGGCAAGAACAAGACGCTAAAGACAAAGGCTGGTACCCAAATTCTCGATCGCGCCTGGAGGTACATCAAGAGCTGGTTCCAAGCTCCTTCGCGCCCAGATCCAGGGGGCTCAATTCCAATATTGGATGAAGAATGAAGACCCATGGAAGGCCACTTGCTTGCTCAGCCAGTTTATCATGAAGAAGTTCATGAAATCCGCCTGAGCGTTTTGGAATACCATGACTGATTGTCTGGTAACTTAGCACGGCCGATATAGCCTGTTGTAGATCATGAATGCGACCGGACCGCATTCGAGTTCGTCTCTATGTACATGCGCGAGGATGATCCTGGGTCACAAACGTGTCCTCGTTCCAGTCTGATCCTTCGCTTCATGGCCTTGGTTTCGCCAAAGGCGCACAGTGCCCCTGCAAGTGCTGACTACACGCGACGACAATCCAGTTCATTTGCAAGCAGAAAGTTCACAGCAAACCGACTGAAATGCCGAAGCGGATTGCAGAGAGTCTCGAACAAAGTTTCAGCAAGAACTCGAACATGTAAATTCTAGGGGCTGCGCCCACGGGCGGGCAGCGCAGGTAGAAGCGTGGAGCAAGGCCACGCACCCGCCCTCCGCCGGAGCCCACTGATGCTGATGATGCGCGCCCTTTGGCGGCTTTCGCAACCAATTCAAAAACTTGGCAAAACAGAGCCTCGCGCCGCAGGGCCGGTTGCGGGCGCCCGAGTGTTGATGATGCTCGGCTGGCCTCCTGGGGTCGTCCACGGCGACCCCGAAACCCGCCACAGCCTGGAGAATGGCTGCGAAATGCGAGCGCGTTCCGAAAGGCCTCCAGGCGAGGGCCACTGCAGAAACGAAGGTCCGATGCAGCAGGGTCGGCGGCTGAAGCGGTCGTGGCTTGTTGCTTCGCATAGTAGCATAGCTAGATGGCTCGACTGAGCTGAGTTCAGAACTCACAGGACGCAAGCGCTCTCGGACCCAGCGTTGCCGGACTTGACTGATGTATCGCATGTCCAACAGCTAAGACAAACACGGATCTTGAACATGGATGGCTAGAATGATGTAGTGCTCATAAAGCTACTCCTTAGCTCCAAAGTCGGGGTCCGTCATGGAATTCTCCAGTCAGGATGAGCAGCATTGCATGCCTTTCAAGACGAGGTTCAAGCTTCATGTTAGCACATGGCTGTGATCAGAAAGGGCTTCAGGACTGTCATGATGTTCTGATCCGCTGAGGCTTCGCGATCTGATGGCTTACACCCCCGCCTAGTTCAGATGTATTCAGCGGCTTTGGGAGACACACTTGCAGACCAGTCATCCTTACTAGAACGGATATTGTTTGTGCCTGGTTGTTAATCTTTCTTGAGTCCCCCTTAGCTGCCACGACATGACGCATGAACGATTTGCAGGTACACAGCTGAGCGTCCTCAACAGCTTCCAACTCGAAAGTTGCGATTAAATGCAAAGCAAACGAAAGCTGCCAGCACACAGACAGTTTTCGTTTTCAACAAAGAAAATGTGTGTCATGTTGCAAAAGGCAACTGCTTGAGCAACAGCGGCCAGGTGTTTTGTTGCAACGGGGAGACAGGCAAGTCGCCCCGAGCACGCAACTTGCGGCCCAGCATCCTACCGATGACAGTTCATGCCGTGAGGGTTTCGAATATTTTCATGCATGAAATGCTGAAATGCAGTGCACGAACAGCTTGTGTTAAGATGGGTCACGTGCTGCACAAGTGTACATTAGACTTGCGAAGCATGAGTGGGGAAGCGAGCATCCGAATGCCAGACATCCAGCACTGTTCAGGCTTTGTAAAGCCTTGAGCACATGTAGGTGGATTGTGCAAACGGATTGTAGAGCCACGGCGCCGTCCTTCTTGCGGGCCTGCAGCAGCAAGTAAATTCCCATCAACCGACAAGAAAAAGCTTGCCGCATTCAAGGCCACAGGGCTTGTAACATCCAACGCAGCGGGGGCGAATATTCGCAGCCATTGCATGGCGGAATTCTATAAATCATGCAAAACAATGGCGGTGCGACTCGCATGTACCAGGTGGACGAATGCAAAACATGGAACACAAGGGGCGGGACATGCAATATCAACAGGGGCCAAGAGCGGTTTATGCCACACATTGAATTGTCCAGAGCAAGCTGAAACGATAGTTGTGGGGGACCGTGGCTGCGTGTTTCGAGATACGACAAATCCACCAGGTGTCCTGGGGCTCTCAAGGTTCTTCCCAAGTCGTACAGTTGCAGGGCAAAACCATAGCCGCACAGGCGGTCAAGCTGTGCCAAACCGTTCACACGCCCAGGAACAAAGAAGCAGCTTCGCGCTTCTTTGAGCTTTGCGGAGTGGTTTGGAAGGTGTGCCCTGGTAAAGGCCAGTAGCGACCTCAAACCACGAGCAGAGGTGTGCTTCGATATAGTTTCCATGGATGCTTAAAGCAGCCATGCGAGACTGTATCGGCTTGATCGGGTAAGTAGCTGCGGCAAGTTTCTCTCACGAGTGGCACTAGTCAGAAGCATGGATCAGTCACATGGCCTGTCTTGGAGATTGTCGCGTTTCTCTCTACACTAGGTGGCGCTGCCTGGGTTCAAAGGCTTTTCAGACAGCGGTGTCATTATCTGCGGCCTGGAATAATTTTCCACAGCAACTAGCGTGTCACGTTTTTGGCTGGCCGACGGTTGGATCTCGGACTCTGCAGACACCCGTGCAGCTCAGTCCAGTGCAGGTAGTGATATGCAGCCATTGCGTTTGTTGAAAGGGGCAGGCCTAGAGTTCCGGGTTGTATGCGATCCCGGTTCGGCTGGCAACCCTCCACCCCGTGGTTGGTACCCCCTCGCCTGTGCAGCCACTGTGGTGCGGTGTGGTTCGGGTTCGGGTCTGCTTGAGCTGCGGTGTGGTGTAGCTCGGTGCGTGTGTGTGTGTGTGTGTGGGTGTGTGTGTGTGTTGTGTGTTGTGTGTTGTGTGTGTGTGTTGTGTGTGTGTGTGTTGTGTGTGTGTGTGTGTGTGTTGTGTGTGTGTGTGTTGTATGTGTGTGTGTGTGTGTGTGTTGTATGTGTGTGTGTGTGTGTTGTTGTGTGTATGTGTGCGCGTGCCTGTGTGTGTGTGCGTGTGTGTGTGTGTGTGCGTGTGTGCGTGTGTGCGTGTGTGCGTGTGTGCGTGTGTGCGTGCGTGCACGCTTGGGGGGTTTGGTGTCATCATCTTCTTCATCGCCCTTTGCATCATCATCCTGTTTCATTTCTTGGGTCAACTGTCACAGGAACCGGGTGTGGCAGGAGCGCGATCCTCGCGACTGTTGCATTTTTAATACCCTCATGTCGTGGTTGGGAAGTGTCCACTGTCACAAGAATCGGGTGAGATCCTCGTGACGGCTGATGGTTTTGGAGCCGCTATGTCATGTAGGAGAAGTGCGCGCAGTCACCGGGAGGCGTGCGGGAAAGGGGGGTTGGGCGGCGAATCGAGGACCGGGATCATGTATGGTCCTGCGTCGCCGCGTCAGTTGTCCTCCCCGCCCACAGCAGCCAAGCCAGGCCTCTCATCCGAGCACACAAGCACAGGGATGGCGCTCGTCCGTGTCCTCATCCTCGTATAACTGTCGACGTTTTTGGTTAAACTCTCGCGCAAGATCGCACAGCCCTGCCCCGTCCCCACACACATGAGACTGACGGCGATGATGCCAAGGACAAATGACAATGATGCGCTCCTTGCATGCCGGTATTCCGAGTGTGACTGTTGGTAATGCCACTGCACTCATGCGGTACCACCATTTAGTTGCTCGTTCTTATTTCGAAGGTTTGGCTTGATGTTCACTGTCGTAGCTTGTATCGACAGGTGTCATTCTATGCTCACTTTCGGTTGGGTGCGTCAGGAGTCAACCCGAGCATGGCTTCAATGACATTCACCCAGGACTCTTGAGCAAGGAAATGAGGGAGCGTGCGGATGGGGATCATCATCACTGATCACTGATCGCCATCTGTTTCGCAGAGGGGCAGCGAGGGGGAACTCGCACCACAGGCAACCACAGGAGTGGGGGGCTAGCAGCGCTGCACCATACATGATGCTTCATTCGTTTGTAAAAATCGAAAGGTCTTGTCTGAGCGTGAGGTGGGGCACTTCGATCTCGGCACTACAAGATCTCGGTTTACGGTCGCGGTTGGAATTGACACGCACTAGCCTCCAGGAAAATCCAAGAACCGACCAGTTCCGGCATTGTTTCAGGCGGCAGTTCTCGAGTGCAGCAACGTGCACTTCCAAGGCTGCTGCGCCTCAGCCCACACCAAAGGTGTGTTGCAGGTGAGCACCTTGAGAATGCGTCAACTCGAAAATGGGACTTGATTGTCGACGTTCACCGCGCTCGCTGGTTTAGATTCCATACACACGAGACTGGACGGCAGTTTTGCCACGCAGGGTTTCAAGCCACCTGGGATCGCCGGCGAACATCACGGTGCAATTCAATCTAGCCCCTCCCTCAACTACCATTGGCTTGATGGCGGCGCAGTAGGCAGGCATGCAGCTTCGCAGGCCACACGAGTTCCACTGACAGATGGAAACCTTAACCAGTCGTCCCAGCCACACCTCACAGTCCAAGCCATAGCTTCTGCATGGCCTGTGAAGTTGACTTTCATCTTGAGTTACCTGATCGTCCTGAGGCTTTCATAATGACCTCAACACAAGGCGTCAAGTACTTCGTAGCAGGTGATTCGGCAGTGCCCTCGTGGTGGAGTCTGCGTGGCCTCGTGTTCAGAGAGCGACCAGTGCTCCATCAGGCGTTCATGCGTTTGATTGAGGTCGGTTGGATTTCGGCTGCCGGCCCGAACAGCGCAAGAGAACTCGTTCATGCTTTGAGACCTCACCTGGACTCAGACGAGCCCATCGTCCTCAGGTTTTCACCCGGAATGGGACGCTGCACGGCAGGCCTGGGAACAGATGTTGGCCATCAAACAGACCCGGGTAAACTAACTGCAAGCAGTTTTGGTGCAAAGCCGTCAAGAGGGTTGGAAGTCCAAGGACCAGACTAAGGCTAAGGCTTTCTAGGGCCCATTATCGCACATTTTCCATGAACTGGTGACGTAGCGCTTCTTGATGCTACCTCTATTTGTGTTATAAGTCTTGCGACTGCAGCATGTCGATAAAGCGTTTGGTTGGTTGGGTGCTCGAGGAATATTGCGAGAAATGTTGTGCGGCGCGTGACACTTTGGATCTGACTCCCGAGCTGCCCGCAGCCATTTCTTGAAGAATCTCGCAAGAAGCATTGCCATGCTGCAATGGGCTCGGAAACTTCTGTAACCCGTCTTCACTGTAAAGTGCACCTCGGTTGAAGATGAGCTGGGATTTCGACGAGTTGGACAGTCTTGAAGCCAGCAGGGCCTCTCAAGCGTTTGTTCCAAGTGGTGTGGAGCATTCGCGCTCGGTGCTTGCGGGTGGTCAAGAGCTGGAGATTGAAAGATCCCGTCGTCGCATTCAGGCCTCGATGCACGAAGGCTGGCAAAAAATCTTAGACCTCAATCTGCACAAGACCGATTCGGCAAGCGTGAGAAAGGCCTACCATAGCCTGGCTTTGTTACATCATCCTGACAAAAGTGGCTCGCATGCAGACGTTGAAATTTTCAAGATCGTGCACAAGGCCTACACCGATGCTGTGGCAGAAGTGTCGTTGCAGGAATCCACTTCCCTGAGAGCTGGAGTGAGGAGTGCGGGATGCAGGCCATCCGACCACGGCAAAAAGTGGCCTTTGGGTTCTTCTTCCTCCAAGGACAGGTCCAGCTTTTTGAACACGGTTCCGAGCAGATTGCGCTTCTTGTTGTTGCCAAGATGCCAGGAGCTGGTGCGTGCAGCAGTGGACGAATGGGAGCACGACTATGATGAGGGCAATGTGAACTCCGTGCCCGACTGTATTCCTGAGGTTGAAGCCGTGGAGCTTGCCAGCTGGCTCCAAGCCGGGAAATGTGTGGTGGTGGATTGCCGGGAAGCTATGGAGGCCAAATACGAGCGAAGGAAGCCGCTGATCCCAAAAGCGCTTCGCATCGGCTTTGGCGACTTGCGGGCCCTGCCGCACACTTTGCTGGACGATCTGTCCCAGCTGAGACGCAGCGATTTCCACATCGTGGTGTTCTCCACCCATGGCGGAACAAGCGGGAACTGCGGCACCTTTGGCCCAAACTGGCTGAAGTAGTTGCAGTCGCGGATGTGCAAGTGCCAATTTTCCCGCAAGTCAACAAATGCTGAGGTATGTGTGCTGCTTTGCTTATTGATCCGGCCTTAACGTTGCGTTTGAGAGTCGGGCGGGGCATGCCATGCCCACATTTAGTTAGACATTTAGAGGTTTGCCTCAAGGCAAGGGTTATTGGGTGGACTCGCTGCTGCTTCAATGGTGGCAGTGCAAGTAAGCGATTCTGCTGCCGTCGTCTGAAAGCTCCTCAGGTCAAGAGGGTTTCATGCCCGTGGGCAGTTGAATTGTCGCTAGTTTTCTTTCGATGGCACATGGGAAGTTCGCAGGATGCGGTAGAGGCAAATCATACTTGTACTTGATGAAGGAGTAGGGTTCGTGCGCACTTCGTCAACAGGAAAGGCGAAGGCAACAAGGTCGAGAAGAGTCTAAACGCTTTTATCAGCCTGGGTCCGAATAATTTCCTGGGTTTGCGGGAGCAAGTTGAAAGCATCTCCAGTCCGGGTTGCAAGTGCGGGCAAATGCGTATACAGCTATTAAATCCGTGTACGTCTAGCATCTTTCAATCCTTCAGTCAGGAATCTCACCACTTGCGGGAGCAGAGCAAGCCCAACGTCGGACCACTCGTCAGCAACCCGTCCGTGTGGGCGAACGTGTCTGAAGATACAAAAAGTCCTTGGCAACATAAACACGAAGGATACCAGGGCAAGTTTTGCATGTGTCTCTTCATTACCCTTTTCCGGGAGGGGCAGAAGCGATACTAGGGTAAACTTTCCCGCTCGCAAAACGACTACCAACGAAAGGGAACATGCTGTGGTGAGGCGTAGTTTTGTGGCCGTGGTATGTTGTGGCAGCCTCCCGAAGCAGCTCAGTGGGCTGGCTGTACTTACGCTGTACTGAACCTATTGGCACATTTCGTTTTTTCACCGGGTGTAGTCACGGCCGCGTAGTGGCATCAGCGGCAGTTGACGACCAAGCGAGCCCCCATCAATGTCCAGTGGATAGGGGACCTCCAATGCTGATGTGAAGCTTCTGCACGGGAATAGGATCCTCGAGAACGTCAGTTTGGTCCAAGGATATGTCGGGTTTGTTGGCAAAGTACAGTCAAGTAGTGCTGCCAGGGGCTAAACGGCAGACATTGTCAATCGGTCAGTCGAAATTGGCAATGGCGGCACAACGACAGAAAGGGGTTGCCCGCGCTGCCTTGTGCCGAAACCTGTTTCGTGCGATGAAAAGGAGTATACATAGCGGACAGGGAGCACTAGAAAGGCAGGCCGGATGCACACACGCATATGGTCCAGAGCGGACAGCCTGAACGTTTACCTGTTTTCTCGGGCAAGAGCGGGCATGACTTTTGATGGTAAGTGCTTGATTGCGGCATAGATGCTGTTGCACAGGAGAAGCGAAGTCCGGAAAACAAACAAACATGACACTGTGAAAGACTCCAGCCCCGCTAAAACGTTGGCTTGCACCTCGTTTTGAATACAAAGCGCAATGAAGACTTCCACCGCGGTGTACAACAGTTCAGTCAAACGGCTAATGTCGGTGGGAGAATCGGCCAGTTAGGACGTCTTTGGATTCGATGCTTCACGAGTTTGGCGATTGGAAGAAGGTCTCGATGGATGGATCGCCTGGGCAACCTGGGCTGAAGCTGTGCAGGGACTATTATGGATTACTCTAGGGCCCAGGGCAAAACACTGTTTCAGACTAGTCGGAATCGTATAAGCTTAACGGGATCCGCAAGGGCTGTTGTTGGTTCAGTGGAAGTACTCTAGGACTCGAGGAAGCCTTGACTTGGTGATGGCACGCAGAGAGAGAGAGAGAGAGAGAGAGAGAGAGAGAGAGAGAGCCATTTTGGCTCAAGTGGTTCAAGGCCCGAGCCCCAGCAGTGAGAGAGAGAGGGCCTCAACCAGGGGGACTCCAGTGGGAACGTGTAGAAAGGGAGCGATCGAGCACATTGTCAAGTTTGTTGCCCTTCGCGTCTTCATCTTGCGAGTTGCTAGCGGGGAACTCGTGAAGTTCAAAGCACATCGCAATCCGTGCGCTGATCATTCGGGACTGCTACAACAGCGCCTTGAAGGGGATCGGCGGCCCTACAGGACTTGAGCATCTACTAAGTGATTCGCCGCTCCGAGACCATGGCAGCATCTGGCAAAGGGGACGCCGGGGGAGCACCCTCCAAACGCAAAGCCGAAGAGAATCCCGTTGATGGGCAGCCGCAAGCCCTATCCTTGGACCTCATCCGGGAAGCCATACGTGGTGAGATCAAGGAAGCTGTGGGGGAATTCCGGCACGACATGCAAACGGTGACTCGACGTGTGGACTATGTGGAGTCACAGGTCACACAGAAGATGCAGCAGACCCTGAACATGCTCGACGAGATGCAAAATCGTGGCCAGAAACACGACGAGATTCTGGAGCAGCTGCAGGAAGCCAATCGCGAGTTCCACCACCGGATCTCAAACCTGGAAAAAGGTGGGGGAAGCGCCATTGGGTCCACTGACTCCACCTCTGCACCTACGTGGGGGGAAGCCAAGCCACCGGCTCTGGTGATCGGGGGATGGGACGCAGATCAAGACGCCGCGACCACCAAGGAGGAGGCCGAGAACATCCTTCGCAGTGTGGATGCACCCATCCCGGCACAAGGGCTTTTTGTCCCTGGAGTCCGTCGGGGATATGCAATCTTGCCTGTCGATGAACGTATCGGGGAGACCTGGGAGCGACGTAAGACGCGGATCCAGGACACCATCAACAAAGTGCGTGCGGCCAACGTGCAACTGGGACAACGACCGGACGGCACTTCCCGCAAAGTTTGGATTGCGCTATCCCAGCCGCCGGAGAAGAGGCGTCGTGCACGCCTGGCAGCAAAAGTGAAACGTTTATACTTGAGCCTCGGAGGGGAGAAGAGCATCCTTCAGATGGAGTATGGCAGTGGTAGCGCCTGGATCAACGCCCAGAAAGTATGCTCTGCTACGGCACCACAGCCGCCGAACACATTGGAAGCGGGACCAGGTTGGGTGGACCTGGACTGCATTGCCCGAGCAGTGGGGAGAAGCAAGACGGCGGTGGAGAAGGAATGGACTCCGCTGGCGGCGGAGATACACTGAGATGGCGAAGACCAGATGTTTCACCGACGGGGGAACGGGCAACTCGTTACCACCAAGCTGCTGACTGTTTTGGTCTGGAATGTTGGGGGAGTCACGGCATAAAAATTGCTGGACGCCTCTGAGACCTTCCATGATGAGGTGCTTTTCCAAAAGGGGGAGGTCTTCATCCTGCAAGAGATCATCACTGTACCAGGGCTCTTCCATTTGGAAAATGAACACTGGCAACTGGTCTACGGCAAGACTGAAGGAGAGTTTAGAGGGGAAGGGATCCTCCACACCAACCGCTTCCAACACAAGCAAAGCTGCGTCCTGGGGGGAGGGGTGGCAACAACACTCACGCCCACTGCGGGCGGACAACCTTTCCGTGTCCTTGCAGCCCACCTTCCACACCACGCTACCCTTCAACAGACAAGCATACTCCTGCAGGACTGGGAACGAAGCCTCCGCCATGATAAATTGCTGGTGGGGATGGATGCAAATGAGACCTTCGCCAAACCTCGACCTGGAGCTACCGGTTGCACTGGGGGAACTTGTCTTGCAATGGGCCCAGGACCTTCGACTGAAGTTGCCGCCACAGGAGCTTGAGACACCCACATACCACCCATACAACACCCAGCAGCAACCAAGGCGGCTCGATTATAGTCTCTACCTGGGGATCATGACAGCATCTGGAAAAGTGTTACATTGCAGAGACAGGTTGGCATCAGATCACGACGCGGTTCTACTGGAGATCTTCGAAAGCCGTCAACAAACGCCACAGAAAATCACTTGGGGCCCCCGGCGGCTGCGGCCGGATGACCAGATCCAACGGCTGCTCAGAGTGCCGCCACCAAGGGGCGAAGACCCACACCGCACCATCGCAGCCATCGCCAAGGCAATCACAGTACCCGGGGGGGACAAGCAACGCTTTAAGGAGAGCAACCAGCTCAAACAACTGCGTCGGGCAGCCCAGGCCATACCGGCGGGCGCAGCGGCCAAGCAAGCATGGAGACAGATTCAGAGACAACGCAAACAAGAACAACGGGCATGGAAACAAGCACTGGCGACCAAAGCAGCAAATTTGGACTGGAACGCGCTTAAAGCGCTGCAGCAGAGGGAGGCGAGCAAGGGATGGCATTTACACCTTCAAGATGACCCAGACTGGCAAGAGAAGTTACGGCACCACATGGGGGGGATCTTCGCAAAACCGCAGGGAGACTTGAACAGCAACCACAGACTCAACCAACTACGCCAAGCTCTACGGCGTCGGTGCAAGCGTACACCCTGGAATCCCTTCAGCCTGGGGGAACTCACCCTCACATCCAGCAAATGGGCCAACAACAAGAGCACAGGACCAGACGAAATCTCCCATGAGGCAGCCAAGGCCCTACTACTGGACGAGGAGTGGGGGGACCGCGTGCTCTACCTCCTAAATGACATGTTCTACACGGCGAACATTCCTGGGGGGATCGAAGCCAGCATCACCGTGTTGCTCCCTAAGATCCCACGACCTCTGCAGTGGGGGGACACGCGACCTATTACGCTCAGCTCTACGCTGTTGAAATGGATTGCACAACTACTCCTTCACCGTGGGGGGGATGCGATCCGCGATGGAGGCGAAGGGGTACAATGGTCCCGGAGGGGGAGGCAAGGAGTGGAATTGGTGGCCATCCTGAGACGGGTGGTACAAATGGCGCGTGACTGGGGGATCGGCACCTGGATAGTCAAATTGGACATCCGCAAGGCATTCGATAGCATTTGGCAGCACAGTTTGGGGGAGATGGTTGCCGCTAGAGTTGGAGGGGTGGGCTCCCCTAGATGGCCGGCCTCGCAACATGTGGGGGACAAACCCTGGGAGGCGCTCCTTTGGCTCAGTTTACTGGAGACCCGAGCAATCAATGTCGCTTTGGCAAACACAGTCACACCAGTTAGCCAATCGAACGGTATACGACAGGGCTCCCCAGACTCACCTGACCTTTTTGGAGCAGTGGTTGCAAGAGACCTTGCAACAGCCGTTCGCAAAGCTCCCGCACAACCTCAGGACCCACAAGGAGGACCACCACCACCACAAAATGGGGGAAGCTTCCTGGATGATACCTACCTTTGGTCCCAAAACAAGTCACACCTACAAGCCCTGCTCACGAACCTCGAGAAGGAGCTCCTTGAGGACGGACTCCGCATTCATCCCACAAAAACCGCCATTCTCCACAGCACACCTGATACCAACGACACCTTCACAATCGGGGGGGAGCAGGTGGCGGCACAGCCCTTTGGTAGCATCATTAGTGTCCTCGGAAGCCCCCTCACTTTTGAAGACCAGGTTGCAGCCATTGTGGGGGAAATGAACCGCAGGGCACGACAAGCCTTTGCAAAGCATCATGATGTGCTCGTAGCAAGAACGAGCTTCAAAGCTAGAGCTAAAGCACACCTCACGTTGGTCAGGGGGGCAGCTCTCTACGGTGCAGAGACCTGGCCAGTCAGCCAAAGCTTGCTCCGTGCCGTGAATGCAACTCAGGCCAAACACGTGTGCTCGATGCTTCACCTGCAAAGACGGCCCACCGAACCGTGGGCGGAATGGCACACACGCACCCTACGCCTTGCCCGAGTCTACATCCAGAGGGAGAATATACAACGCTGGTCCAGCTATGTTCTTGAAAGAATCTGGGGGCTCTGGGGGCATCTTGCAAGGGGGGGACCAGCAGTAAACAGTATGGTCACCTGGAAAGACCTGAAGTTCTGGCGAGGCGAACAACAAAAGCCTCGAAGCAAACGAGTCAACCACTCAGGACGATTCAATCCAGAAGGGGATGTGGAGCGTGCATTGGAGTGCGTTGCTGGAACTGATTGGGGGCGGGTGGCTGCAGATCGAGGGCGGTGGGGCAGCCTCACTTCCCTCTTCATCGAGCGTTTCGATGTACCTTGGGCGACCGGGAGACAACCAAGCATCCGTGACAACCTCAGCCCCCACACTCGACACACACAACAATCACAATCACAGCCCAGTCTTTCATGCAATGGGGAAGGCAACCGACACCAACAACACAGCCAAGGGGGAGATGGTGGCGAATGAAGGCACGTTACCTGATTGCCACATCAACACAACCTTGGGGGGAACATGGTGGTTGCCTTGCCTGGAGCGAACAAAACAAGACAGCAAGAGCAGAGAGTCGCGAAGATGGGTGCCAAGGTCTATTTGTCTCAATTGCAACAGTACAGTTTTCTCGCCACAACAGCATAACACTGCTTCCACCACATTCCCTAACACCACAGCTCACTACCACGACGAAACAGCAGTGCGTTTCTCACCCTGATGGCCCCATGGACCCAATCCTGGGGGGTGTTGGTTGCCCAACCTTGCCTTGTGAGGAGGGGGAGCGTGACAAGACACCTCCGGGGGGGGCGGTGGTTGCGACAGGACTGGAAAACAACAAGACAGCAAGAGAGAGAGAACTGTCAGTACCTTTGCTGTCTGCTGCATGCTACAAACCAGTGCATTTTAAGCTCTTCTCCACCACTACAAACAACGACTTCCACCACAAACACCAACATCACAGCCCACGACCATTACTACGAGCAAACTCCGAGGACATCAATTTAGCATAAAACGCCTTCACAACTCCTATTCCCATGTGCCGCAGCAACACAGAGTTGGACAGAAGCCAGTAGACCCGTGGGGGAACATGGCAGATGCACCGCGACTAATACCAGTGTGCAAGCTGTGCGCCAATGGCGGCCGCGGCAAACACTATCGCCATGAACGTGAAGACCCTCGGTGCAAGAACTACACTGGGCCGGGGACAGCTTCCAAAGGAAGCGCAGATACACAGACCACGGCTACCACGTCGCAGTCCTCGAAGTCCTCAAATGCTCCGTTGTCTTCCCAAGTGGGGGAAAACACTGCGATGGCCAGTCGACCTGTCTTGCTGCCAAGCGAAGAAGGGGCTGCGGAAAATAGCAGCCAAGTGGGGGATCACCCAGCACAGGGTGAAGACTCCGGGGAGCAGTCGCCAGAGAGCAGTGAAAGTTCCACGCCGCCACCGGGGCACCCACTGGGGGAGAACGTGAGACGGCTGGTGCGCCCGCTGTATGAGCGACCTTGGAGAGCGGGGGACATCATGTGGAATGTCACCCGCCAAGAGTTGTGCAGCCATGGCACAGCCCAGCCGGGGGACACCCTTCGACAGCTGTCTGGGGAGAAAAGAGAAGAGATCGCAGATTCTCTTTTCGTGCAAGCATATAGCACATTGTTGTGCGTGCGAAAATTCGCGGGGGACCACAAAATGCGTGAGACCTACAGACAGATGGTCGACAACCCCTTGCAGTCAGCGGGGTTGTGGTGCGCATGCACAATGCGTTGGCACGGCCCGTTGGGGATAACGACTGCCGAGTTCCGCAAGATGCTCCTCTCCGAGGTGACGCCAGTACCCTTGGAAAAGCCGGCGGAGGAGGAGCCCCCAACAGAAGTGGAGCCCGTTTATGGCGACCTACACGGGGGAACGCCGGGGGAGCAGACGCCTGACTGGACAGACCCAGCACATGACGTACCATGGCGTACACCTCCAGAACTGTTCGAAGACGACAAGGACGACAACGATACTGGGGGAGCTGCCATGAACATCAACTACAACCCCAACGACGATGCCCTCGGCATGATATTCGGGGGAGTGGACCTTGATGAGTTGCAACGGGAATGGATACCCCGTCGCACCGCTCCTTCGGGGGACGCTCAGCCAAAGAATGCCGAAGACCTTGAGAAGGACGCCACGGTGACCAGAGTCTTGGCAGACCTACGTGAGGAGACGGAGGGGGTAGTGGTTCAAGTGGAGGACACGCGACCAACGACAGCATCTCCTGTCACAGAGGCGGGGGAAAGGTTGGCAGCTGCCATCCGGGCCAAGAGAGAGAAGGAACGCTTAGCAAACCAGCGTGTGATAAAGGTGCGGGGGATGAATGTACGACTTCCTGCGGCAGCATCCTCCTCAACTACGAACGTAGCGGAGCCACCCCGGGGGAGCCTCCTG